TAATAAATTAAGGGGCGCCTGGGTGGCTCAGTCGGTTGAGCGTCTGACTTCGGCTCAGGTCATGACCTCATGGTCTGTGAGTTCGAGCCCCGCGTCAGGCTCTGTGCTGACAGCACAGAGCCCGGAGCCTGCTTCCGATTCTGTGTCTCCCTCTCTCCCTGCCCCTCCCCCACTCATGCTTTTTTTTCTCTCTCTCTCTCTCTGAAAAATAAATTCAAAAACATATAAAAATATTTAATATATATATGTGTATATATATATATATATATATATATATATATATAATAAATTAACTGCTTTCCTGTGCATCTATAATGGTACTTGTTATGTTCTATCTTGAAAAAATTGATAAAATAATCAAGTCATTTTCTGTATTTGGTAGTGTTGTAAAAGTCTTCAAGAATCACTCCATATTACCTATAGGATAAAATTCAACCTTCTTAAAATGACACATAAAAGCCTCATTGACCTGGCCTTGGACACCTTGTCCAGATCTGTCACCAGCCCATCACTCTAGCCTCCAAGGAATTGCTTATAGTTCTCCCCCAACACAGTGAAGAATCTCACTTGTACTATTGAAATGTTTGTTTTTGTCAGTTCCATTTAACAGCTTAATATGTATTCATCTCTTCCAAGTAACCATCAGGGATCTTCTTCTCCAAGAGGAGGCTAGCTTATTGCCTGTCTGTCTTTTTTGTTAAGACTTGTCCAGAAAATACCAGTGAGCTCCACCATACTTTGTATTGTCTTATGCTTTCCAAGAGCTGGAGAATTTGTATATGACAGTGTGCTTCCACCTATACTTCATCCCTATCTACTATGGTGAGGATCTTAGTCATTTGGGAAGCTACACCTTGCCAAAAGTTAGCATTCTGCCAGGGGTTGTCACCATCCTATTTACCACTAACAGTGTAGTCCTTGTTGACATCTGACCAAGTGACACAATTCCTAAAGCTCATTCTGAAGGCTGCCCTCTAACGCCACCTCTCATTACAACTCTCTTACTTTGTAATCCTTTTACCCCTCAACCAAAGCAAAAAGGATGGTGAAACAGACAAATTTAGCTTATTAATTTGGGAGGCAGTCTTAGGAAGCACAGTGAGTGAGTAGAGAAGTAAGACAATGAAAGTAAAGAATGTGTCATCATTTTACCATGTGGAAAACAGGGCTGCAATTAGTAATGGGGGCACTCTAAGAATCTCTAGAGGACACACATGTCACAATGTTCCACAGAAAACAGGACTACCAGCACTATCCCTTATTGGTTGAGGGTTTCTTCAGGTGTTGGTGTGCTAATTCCCCGTTTCCACTTCAGGTCTACAGTGGTAGGTGGAGTAAACTCCCAAAGTGCTAGAAAGTCTTGAGATAAAGTATTTCACATGAAGCTATCAGCCTCATTTGGATACTTACGATTGTAGCTCTAACTGAATTTAGATGGGTTGAGCTGATATAAGGCATAGAATTTGCAGTGTCTGCTGTATTGTCTCATGACTTCTTTGCATAATGTCACATATTTATAACTATCTGTATTTATATTTTCCATGCTAGACTGAGAAATTTGAGAGAAAATTATGCATGACAGCCCCTGGCACATGTTGTTCAGTGTGATAACTGTCAACAAATTCTATTGATTCAATTTTCCAACTAGTTCTTGAGTTTGCCTTCCAAACTCTCCCCAGAACTCTACACATTTCCCTATTTTTTTCCCCACCTAAGTGCCAGAGTACCTTCATAACTGACTTTTCTATTGCTTGTCTTGCTTTCCCTTTTTCCATCTTTCTCATTGCTGCAGTGGTGAACTTCCTTAAGATTCCACTGTTTAAACTTCTTAAAATATCATGCAAGCTCCTCATATTGTATAAAAGCTACCGTTTAGTAAGTCTCTTTGTATGAGACCAATTCAGAACACTTTGAAAAGTCATTTTATAATTTTACCAACTGAAAAAAATATTCACAGGAAAATACCTGACTTTTGGGAAGAAAAAGTTACAAGGGCTGTTGTTCTTTGTAATATTTATATATAACATAGGCCACCCCAGCCTTCAGTAAAAATTGAATTTCTGCAGCATAAGTAGCTCATATTTCTCTGTTTCTAATCCCCATCTTTAGGACCTTACTTAACTGATGTGGCATCCTCCAAAATTTCCTCCAGTATTTCTGAGTATTCTTTAGGAGTGACCCATGTGAGTTTATGAAACTAATCTGTCAGCTTCTAAATATGAGAATGTGGAAAAATCAGCATATTTCTTGTTTTGTTTCATTTTATTGAAAAAAATAACACTATTTTATACCTGGGAATTTTATAGCACCTTTATCTGAAAATGTAATTTTTTTTAGAAAGACATTTATTTATTTATTTATTTATTCATTCATTCATTCATTCATTCATTCATTCATTCATTTTTGAGAGAGAGGGTGAGAGTGAGCAGGGCAAGGGCAGAGAGAGGGAGATAGAGGATCTGAAGCGTGCTCTGCACTGACAGCAGAGACCCCGATGCAGGGCTTGAACTCAACAACCATGAGATCATGACCTGAACTGAAGTCAGATGCTTAAACCAACTAAGCTACTCAGGTTGCCTTGAAAATAAAATCTTTTATGCTTTTATTCATAGACCTCTCTCTTTTTTTCTCGAAAAAACATGTTAGTCCTTGAGGGGTTGAATTTGAACCACTGTGAAAGGCAGAGTTCTGCTTTTCTCAGAGACAACATTCCTTTTTCATGCTGTGGATGTTGTAACTCAGCCATGCCCTTCCATGTGCCTATCAAGAGGCTCTGCTTCGGTTGGTCCACCAGGTTACATGACATGGTCATATCTGCATCCCAGGAAACAATGTGCTTAAATTTCAATTGCATTTTCTGCTGAAAGTGTAGGTTCTTTATAAATATTTTTAACACAATAAAACAAGAAAAATGATCAAAAGTATAATTCTTATACAATCTCATAATTTTTATTTTACCTTCCAATCCGTATTTGAATGTATACAAAATATAAATTACTTTTTTAAACTAAAAGGTGTAGAAATTTTAAGAGTAAGTTGATTTAGGTCCCATATATTTAAAAGTCTTCTAAATGTATATATTGTTTTATAGTGTATAACATCATATATGAAAGAAACATTATTCTCTGCTGATGTGCACCCTGGGAAGGTCATGGATTTTTTAAAAGTAGAAGAGGCTAGGGTACATGACTGACTAAAGATCAATTCAGAAACATGTGTTCATTTTGAGAGGATTTAGAGTCATGGTTGAACAATGGCTTAACCTCTTCAATAAAAGCTGTTCACAGAAACCCACAAAGTCACATTTGCCACATTTCTGCCAGGAGTGGCATAGAATTTAGAGAGCTGGGATTTTGTCTTTTAGAAGTCAAGCTCTCCAGCACAGTTAATAGATTCTTTTTGAAATTTCCTCATCCTAATGTGGAATAAAAAAAGATATCCTTCAAAGAGAAAACCTATAATGGTCCCTTGTCAGGAAGGTCATGGAGAGGATTTTTGCTTTATAATATATAACCCCAACATCCCTTGCTATCTTAAAGTTTTATGAATTAATGCTATTTTTTCCTCTCCATAGTTCATGTCTCTAACATGATTTATGATCAGTTTACCTCCATGTTTTCTATAGAACTTGCTCCAGGTTACCTTCAATAAAAGAAAGGTCAGTTGATAAAAAATGAGGTTAAAATTACAATGAGATTTTTTAACACTAAACACTAAACCCACTGAGAGAAGAGAATATTACTGAAACTAGCCAGAAATATAACCATGTAACAGAAAATCTGCAAGATGGGTAATCCACAGTCAGGTGATTAAAGCATTACTAGACTGGACCTTGGAATTTGAGTAATAGAATTTAGTTTCTGTGAATGTTTTTATATAATTTTATGATTTTTCCCAGCAACATGTATGTGAGATACTGGAAAACTGATGTTATCAGGGTGATCTGAGAGAATTCAAATTCAAAAACAGGAATTAAATGTAGATTCTGGATGTTATTATTTGTGCTTCTTGGACAAACCACTTATACCTCTAGGTCTCAATTTCTGTCTTCTCAAAATGTTTAAAATATAGTTTACCAAACAAATATAAGTTGTTTAGAGAATAAAAGGGCCTAAGATTGGTATGTGCTGGTCATATATTAGATTCCTTCAATAGACAGAAACTAATTGTTTCTTAATAATGATGTTTTTCACAACTATACTGAATTAGGGTTCATTAGCATGTCTTACAAAGTGGTATAATTTTGATAATATTAATAATAGTTATACCTAAATTTATTAGAGCTCTATTGTACACAAAATAGTTTTATGTATATTATTTCATTTGATTCCCAAAGCTTATGAGGTTAATTAGTAAAATGAAAAATCATTACATAATTTTAGAAATGTGAAAGAACTGAAGTTCTTAAAATTATTTGATTTAAATCACAGACATAAAGTTAGGACAAGAACCCCGGCATTTTTGCCTTAAAATTTCAATATTTCTACCAAACTATGCTATATGTTGTATAATTTTTTAATTTGGGGGAAATCGTTATTAGAAGCTATGTTTCTTCACTAAATAAATATAGCAAAATGGTAAAATGTTTAAGTTTTGTGAAGTTTCTATTAGTCATCAGTTACAAAGAAATAATGATAGTAGAAGTAAGATAATCTTTCTCTTCTTACTATTATTCTATACTAACCCAGAAATGTTTTTATTTTTTATGCTTATTATTCATTTTTTGAGAGACAGAGAGAGAGAGAGAGAGAGAGAGAGAGAATGAGGGAGGCACAGAGAGAGGAGAAAGAGGAAATCCCAAGCAGGCTCCACACTGTCAATACAGAGCCTGATGTGGGACTTGAACCCGTGCACCACAAGATCATGACCTGAGTTGAAATCAAGAGTTGGACGCTTAACCAACTGAGCCACACAGGTGCCCCCAGAAATATGTTTCCAGTTCTATATCCTGAAATAAATTTGTTACATAGACAACCTAAGATTTCTGGATTATTTTCTAATAAATAACAATTTTCGTACATGAATTGGTATTTACTTTACAAGTCAACTTTTTATGTTCATATAGGAGATCAGACTGGTAACTGAATCAGAGCTCATGACCTGAAATGGGTAAGGTGATCTGAATTGAGATGTTTAAATCGCAAGACAGAACAATTGAAATGTGAGTGTATGTTGAATGCCTTTATCATATAAGATTCAACTCATATGTATCTAACTAACAACATCTTGGTTCCCTTGTATTGTATTCTTTGACTGTACTCCATGTAATGTAATAAAATGGAAAGAAAAACGGCTGCTTTACACACTTTAAAATAAAAGTAGATCTTAAAGATAAAGCCAAATATTAAAATTTTTCTGAACTTCCTTGTCCTCAGGAGAAGTTATTATAAAATCTGAATGGCATACCTATTTTGTATTTTGTAAATCTTCTTAATACGTAGGATATTTTACATCTTTGCAGCTATTATTGGAACCGCAAATTGAATCTCTATTAACAGTTCAATCACTATACCACCTGACAGTGGCCACGGGAGTTCTCAATAGCTTAAAGAGTGAGAGCAATATCAACACAGTACAATGTGTGAAACATTTTATTAGGTAGACAAAGACATAAAGAAGAAAAGAGAAACAGCATTATACATGTAGATTTATATATACATATATAACATGTAATAGACCTATTCATATTGATGCACTGTCATTTGTGCTGGATAATCACTATGATTCTATTTCACTTAAAGTTATGTTAGTAACAAAAATTAATTAAAATTTATGAAAACAGGCTTGTTTGAATGATATTTGAATTATATTTATTGCTTTATATCAGTTCCAAGTAGATGTACTTGACTTGGGAACAAGTATGTAAACATGGGACCATCTCAACACAAATAGAGCAAATAAGTGAGAATTATTTCCTGAAACAACGCATTGTAAGAAGCTTCACCCCTCTTGTTATCCAAAATAATTTCTTACATTTCTTACTATGTATGATTTCTTACAAAAGTGTATTAATTTACTCTGTCATTGCTCTAGTATAGTTGCAGTAGTTCCCATTAAAAAGGAATTTTACCATTAGAATATCCTTTTGTCTTCTAAAAAAAAAAAATACAGATGTTAAGTCATTAGTATTGAACAATAACAGTAGCTTCTTACAACCACAAGATGGAAGGTAATGGTGTTCCCAGCACTGTCAGGAATATTGCTCTCTGTGATAGGTAGAATTGCAAGATAACCTCTAAGATTCCCATTCTGATATGGACACATTATATGATCCCTTCTCCTTGAGTGTGGTGAGAACCTGGGATATGTTTATAGAGTCTCAGAAGGAGAAGAGAAAGAATGTGGTGACAAAATTTTGAAGAGGGAATGGCTGAAAATTTCCAAAACTGCTGAAGAAAATAAACCATATGTTAAAGAAAACCTAAGACTCCAAAGTAGGATTTTAACAAAATTAATCTATGTAGTAACACAACAGACTAAAATTGCAAGAAGAGCAAAGACAAAAGAAATTTTAACATGCCCCTAGAGAAAAACAACATGATACCTTCAAAGGAACAACAATAAAACTTAAGTCTATTTTCTCAACAACAATGATAAAAGCTAGAAGACAAATTATATTTTTAAAGTGCTGAAATAAAATAACTGTCAATCTAGGAGTTTAAAGATTGAGAAAAAATTCTTTTGGAATGAAAATGAGAAAAGCCATTTACAGACACACAAAACTTGAAAGAATTTACCATAATAGAAATGAAGTAAAGGAAACACTAAATATTGCTTTTTTAAACAGTGAGAGAATAGAAGCTTGGAGATAGAGACAGAAATTAAGGCTATAGATATATTGGTGAATCCAAATATTAATTCTACCAAAATAGTAATAGTAAAGTGTTGATAAGTTTAAATTCATAATTAATATGCATAAGAACAGTGTGTTGGGAAGGGTGAAGAGAGTTAAAATGCCTGAAGTTTCTTGTTCTGTCTGGAATAAAGCACAAAACTTGTGGTTAACTTAGACCAAAATAAGTCAAGATTCATATTTTCATCTCTGCAATAACCAGTAAAACAATGGTAAACAAGTTTAAAAGTTCTATGTTGTTTACTCTGTGTTTATCATGTTCTGGATAGGTGAATTGCCTTTCTTTGTCCTGTTCTTTATTCCAGGAGGCTGACGTGACGTGGACATTCTTGCCCTTGACCCTTGTTAGCTTCGGCTAACTGGCATCGGCATGAAATATGAGGTTAAGAGAATAAAGATTGGGTATATCCCCCAATTCTATCTTTATGGCAGTTATTACATCCTACTAAAGGTACACACTAGAGAGCTGTATTCAGTGACTCCAGGCTCCATTGTCTCCTTTCCTTTTTTACCCTTTAGCCTACTGGAAGACAGGGGGCCCCACAGAAAATAGATGTGCTCTAGGGGCAATGAACCAGTCCTCCACTACACTAGACACTGACTGCAGGTACAAGAGTGAGCCCAGCTGAGAGCATCTGCGCCTGGCACAGACCAGCAGTACAATGATCTGAGCCCAAGGCAAGTTGTTAACCCACAGAATGACCAGTTAATAAACTTCGGATCTCTAAAGCCACTCACTTTTAGGTACATTGGTGCATGATGGGTGTGGGGGAATGCGTGTGAAGTCATCAAGGCTGGTGGCAGGCAGGATAGGTTGGTTTGAAGGAGAGGAAACAAAGACTGAACCCAAGCTGGGCACAGGTGGTGGCTGCAGTACCGCTGAGAGCCAAAGACAACAGTGAAGGTATTCCCAACGTCAGTCACCAGTGACAACCTGAGTCCACATGACAGGCTGGACTGGATCAGGGAGTCTCTCTCTGCAGGTGAATCTGACTAAGATTGAACAGTTGCCCTTAGGGGCTGCCTATTGTCAGTTTATGGATGGTCTGTTCCCTGGCTCCATGGCCTTGAAGAAGGTGAAATTCCAGGCTAAGCTGAGTACATCCGGAAGTTCAAGACACTGCAAGGAGGTCTTAAAAGAATGGGTGTTGACAAAATAATTCCTGTGGACAAATTAGTGAAAGGAAAGTTTCAGGACAATTTTGAATTTGTTCAGTGGTTCAAGAAGGTTTTTTTGGCCTTTGTTGTTTTGTTTTTTTGTTTTTTGTTTATTTATTTTGAGAGAGAGAGAATAAAAGAGATTTCAAGGTGGGGGAGGAGCTGAGAGAGGGGGAGATAAAGAATCCCAAGCAGGCTGGACATGGGACTCAGTCCCATGAACTGTGATTGTGACCTGAGCCGAGATGAAAAGTCAGAGGCTTAACCATCTGGGCCACCCAGGCACCTCTCAAGAAGTTTTATGATGCAAGCTGTGATGGAAAACACTATGACCCTGTAACTGCCAGTAAGGAAGAACTTCAGCGGCTTCCTCCCCTGTTGTTCCAGCTCTGGGCAAACCCAGGAAACCTCTCAGCTCTAGCAGTACAGCTCCGCTGAGGCCCATTGCAACACTCAGAACTACCGCAGCCCCTAAGGCTGGCTGGGGCGTGGTATGAAAGGATCCTGCTGCAGGCAACAGGGATGGCAAGCAGTTGAATTGATGCAGCAGGTCAGTGTATTGAAACTTATCATTGAAAACTTGGAGAAAGAGAGAGACTTTTGCTTTGCAAAGCTAAGGAACTTTCAATTGAGCTGCCTGGAGGTTGAGGGGGGAAACAACCCTGTATAACAGAGGATCATGTACGTTCTCTATGCCACATATGAAGGCTTTGTGGTACCCGATGAAGGGGGCCCACGGAAGAACAAGAAGAGTGTTAGCAGCCTGGACCAGCAGAGGAGCATTCAAAGTCTTCACTCTAGGTCATGTGCTTCACTGTAAAATATTCCCTTTTATTATTCTTAGACGACTCACTGTTTTGTTTTTTTTTTTTCATAAGCAAAAATTACCTCTTTTTAAAGGGCATTGTAGAAGTTTCACTCCTTTTTCAATGAGTTTGAGTTAGGAGTTGTAGCAGAGCAGTATTAACATCCAATTGGTTCATCCAGGGAACAAAGAGGCTGGCCATCTCCATGTGGACCCTGGTAATACTGATTGCTGGAGAAGGTGTTTTTATGTAACACACTGAGGTTGAGATCTTGGTAGAGAAATATAAAGACTGGCTTGAATTCGAAGCTAATGTGAAATCTTGGCAGAGAACGTTTTAATAAATAAATGCCTTCAGAGTATTTAAAATATGCTTCCATATTTCAAAATATAAAATATAACACCACAGGAGATTTTACAAGGTTGACATTGTGTCTGGGAAGGAAGGGCCAGACCTCTGGATCTTTGGAATCTGCTGTTCATAGGCCTTGCAGGACTGTTTGAAGCTGCAAAGGCCTAGACCTTAGCCCAGAAGGAAAGCTGAAATAGTGGCTCTGTAAAGCCATTTGGTGTCCTTACCAATCATACTGCTGCTTTAAGAAGCAAGAGGCATTGTTGCCCGAATGAATAGAGGGCATATTTCAGCCCTGAGATCTGAGTTGGAGAGCTTGAATTTCAGTGGATATTTCTCTGATTATTTTTCCAGTTATCCCTGAAATTTCTATGTATTGTGCTTTTTGGTAAATGAAGTGTGTCCACATTTTAAAGACTGGGCATATCAGCTACTTTTGGAGACTTGCTCACATCTCTTGGATTTGAATGGGGGCTGTGTCCCATTTTTCTGTCTTTTAAGTCTACATTTAATATGTTTCTCTTCTCTGTTTCCCTTGCCTATCGGGGATTCCTCTTTGGCTCCTTAAAGTTTGCCACTTAGAGTGTAAGTTCATCAGGCAGATGGTCACATTGCAAGTTCTTTCTGGACCTCTGGCAAAGACAGTGACCAGTGAAGCCACAGCTACCTTGGGACCTGCAAAGCTGGGTATTCTCGGTATCTGCTGTCCACAGCCATCCACTGTTACTGGAATACTTTGCCAGTGCACTAATCTCTCTGGAGATAAATTCATTAGTGTGTTACTAAGTGTTCATTTTCTTCTGTAGAAAATATAGTACTGTGTCTGAATTGCTTATTAATATTTAAACTATTCCATTTCTTAACAATTCCTCATTTGCTTTGCCCCTAGCCTATTCAGTTCTTTTGTTTGGCAGAATTCTGCAAAATGTGTCACCCACTACTGATATTGTTCAGCCCCCGATGTATTTGTATTGATTTCTTTCTGGTGGTAGATTCTCCTAACAAGTGTGTAGAAAGCAGGTATTTTATGACAAAATTGTTGTGTAGTGTGTGCTCTGATGGAATTCACAGATTCGGTGATTGACAATGCCAAAAAAATGCAAGTAACTAGCCATTGTTCAAATAACACTGGTGCTGTTTCTCTTTTGTGGCCTTTTAGACTTTTGTTGCCCTAAAATTCCATTTTATTGGAAACTCATTTTCCACCTGGTCTTTCTTGACAGGGTTTCTTTTCCCACTTTAAGCAGTTTCTAAATAAAATTCTGTATTTCAAGAGAGAAAAAAAGTCACTCACTTCTAGAGTACTTTATTATGAAACTGAAGCTAACTGAGAGAGTTATTAATAATACTCATAAATGCATTTAGAATCCTTGTGACAGTAGCAAAAGTGAAGAAAATCTAATGATTTTAGGAAGGCAAAGGTCATTTCCAAATTGAAAATATTTTTTCTGAGTAGATTGTAGATTAAGTTTATTACATAAAGTTTAGGCGGTACCTCTCTGAATAATTAAATATCTCTAGAGTCTATTTTTTTCATCTTTAAAATGAAGAAGTTCAAGTAAGATGATCATCATCTCTAAAATTCCATGCAGTTTTATTGCAGCAGATTCACCATAGATGTTGATTTTTATGATGGACTTGTAAGTCACAGTCCACTTGGAAGAGGTACAGTGTTCCTGTGCCCCAGCTCTCTCTCTCTCTTGAACATAACTGAAGTGTTGTACCAAAATTTATGGTAAGAATAATTCTTTATGACTTCTATCTTTCTCCTAATAAAATAATACTCTAATTCTTAAAAATTTGTACCAATTTTTCAATTCCAAATAATTAAAAATCTGTGGACTTGAGATATATTAATGGCAAGGGCAAAGAATATAGGAAAAGAGAAACTAGGCAGATACCAAACCTTTCTTGGAATTTACGGGAATCTTTGTTGTGTTAAGTTAATCTTTATTGTGCTTTGTTGTGCTACTGGACCAAGTGTATTCCATTGGTTACTTATATTAGAATCACCAGGGTGTTGTTAGAAATGTAGATATCTAGAGTCATTCTTTGATTTTCTGAATTGACTTTTTTGAGTTTTCAGAATTATCATTGGGTTTCTGAACTTTTAGTGCACCTTGAATCACCTATATTCTTGAGATTCTAAAACTAAACTACAGATATACTAGGTATAATATGTGACTTTTAATCTATTTCTGTGAAGAATTTACAGGTGGTCAAAAACACATGCTATGAAGAATATTGCTTCAAAGAGCTCTTTATTAGTTTCAATAATTGATAAATCCTTGGTAATATACTCAGTACAGTGCCTCATTATAGAAGGTGCTTAATTGATATTTGTCATTGATGATTCATTTAGATCTATTATATTTTTCAGAATGGGCAAGATAATATTATTTTTAGTTCTTAACATCGAATAATTTAGGATAGATATTATATCAACTATGTATATGTGTGTGTGTATATGTATATATACATATACACAGTAAAACCTTGGTTTGTGAACATAATTCATTCCGGAAACATGCTTGTAATCCAAAGAACTTGTGTATCAAAGTGAATTTCCCTATAAGAAATAATGGAAAACCAAAAATATTCATATAAAAATTATTATAATACTATTATATAATACAAAATAATAAAGAAAATACAAAATATAAAGAAAAACAAATAAATTAACCTGCACTTAACTTTGAAAACCTTTGTGGCTGGTGTGAGGGAGACAGGAGAGAGGAGGGTTATTGTATAGCATGACTTTCACTATCACGAAAAGAATCACTGCCATCTATTGGTTCAATAGACTCTTTTTCCTTTTGTGTAACTTTAACAAGGAACCTATCCAATACCACTTGCTTTTGCCCCCTTTTGAGGATTTCATGGAAATGGGCCATTGTATTGTCATTAAATAGATTCATTGCTTGCACTGCTACAGCCTTATTCGGGTGGTGCTTTATACAAAATTTGCACTGTTTCCTACATTTTATACATCTCCCTAATCTCATTTGAAGTGAGGGATTCCTCCACCTTTTCTCCTCTTCCTACACAGATGAGATACAGATGTAGACTTAAATCTTGCAATTTTGACCACTCACATACCTTGTTCGTACTTCTCAATGATTTCCCTAACTTCCGCCATAATCATCTCCATCTTACTGCCTTTCTCTTCAACCTTTTTCTGCATGGGGGCCATTGTATACACTCACAGCCATGTTGACTACAGTCCAGTATTGATAAACTGTTGTCATATACTGTATTTAATGTAACTTACAATAAGGCAGCAGAGGAAAAGGTCTCTATCTGCAGTAAGCCAGACCTACAATGAAGCAAAACATCGTAAACTTACCCTTGAATGGAAAAGCAAAGGACTGTCGTAGGTGCTTTGAAGTGACAAAAAATATACTAGTATCAGTTGTGG